ACAGTGCATGCTAGAGAGAGAAAAAGGTGTGCAGGACCTCATTGCTTCTGTTGAGTTTAAGTCTACACCGATCACAATAAATAAGGCTACGATTTTGTTGTAACTCTCCTTGTTTGCAAACAGGGCACCAAACCTCCTTGCCTACCTATTTAGAAAAATCAAGAGCATTCAAAAGCTTCAACATTTTGTCCTCGTTGATCAAAAAGATAAAATGGAAAAACTTATATTTACTAGTGGCATACTGAATTAAAATAAGATGGGGCAAAACTCTAGCAGGTGTAACCCCTTATTTCATTTTAAGGTGTAACCCCTTATAAAATCCATTCATGTTATGCTTTCATGAGTTCATCACATCTCAGTGAAGCATGGATGCTCTTACTTGGATGATTTGTCCATGCCTGACATGTTAGGACACCGACATTCCTTGGGCACTACTAGACACATCTGACACGCCATGTGGCATGTCTGATATTTTATACATTTAAATTTTATGTCACTCAGGGGACACTTCCTAGGCACACCTTGAGCATGTGCGCGACATGCCATGTAGCAAGTCTTAATAGGTATAAAGCAGGGCCTAAGAGTAAAGAATAAAATTTTGTGAGCATTATACCTGTTCACCATTGAGTTGCATGTGCTCATATACAGCACGAGCCAAATATTCATCTTCTTCATCCTCCCAAGTTTCGATAAATCTTTCTGTCCCTGGCAGGAAATGAAAGTATATCTAAGCTCACAGGAGTAATTGGCACGTATTTTTTTCTGACAGAGAGCCAAAATAAGAGAAAAATAACTCGACATAAAATAATTTGACACGTGCATCCCTTTCTGACTCTTTTGCTGTCACCTTGAACAATGAGAAAACCAGTAATCCACGAGCAGATTTACAACTCTTTTTAACCCCACACCTGCAGAGTTGATAAGCTAATCTTATTGAAGGTGATATCTGGAGTAGATTTACAATTTTATAAATCACCTACGACAATTTGATTGCGATGTCAACATTTCAACTGAGATGAAGGGTGAAAAGTGGTATAAGAGAAGGAAAAGGTCCTAGGTTCAAGTCTCACCGCCACCTATTTGTAAAAATTGCGGACGTTCACACCTTTGGTCAAACAATGAAGGTTGCACACAAGGGGCATGTTGAAAACAAACTTTAAATGACTAAATTTGTCCCTTGCAAAGTGCTTAAATTTTTAGATGAAGTGGTTCAATAAAAATCACAGAAAAAGGATTCAGTTTAAATAACAGAAAGGTAGATTGTATTTTAAACTGTTTTGCCTTCCAGACAATGGAATTGAATTGAAAAATGAAGAATCAATATTGTTACCACTTTCCGCAAAGATGCAAATCACATTCTAAATCAAAAAATTGAAAATGTACTTTACAGTTCGCCAAATATTTTTGGTACTGCCAAATGAACAAAAAATAAAAGAAACATTTTTTTTTTCAAAGGTATCACATGAAAATTTACACAATGTTGGTCACTGTAGCACGACTAAGTCGTGAGACCTAAAATAAGAAATGTTTTTCTCATAGTAAGATCCTAATTGGTTTTCTGATGAGGAGCTGGAAAAATCAGATTCTTCTTGAATCTTCCATTGGAAAATATTAATGTATAAAAGTTTGCATTGATTATACTGCAATAGCTTAAAGATATGTTCGTGGAATATTTTGGGTTGAACATGAACATGAACATGTCATATTGTCTCACTTTGAATTTACAAAGTTCATGATGTCTGCTAACAAATTGATTTTTCCTTCAAAATCACGAATTGCTTAACTGCAATCCATCAGTGATACTCGTATGGTACCTTTCAAACTTTCCTCTGTCCTCAGATCCTCATAAAATATCCTTTGCATTTCAAACAACAATTCTTCACAGTCGCCTCGATAATCTATATGAAGACCATCATACTCCCATATCATGTCATCAGAAGCAGTGCCAAAAGTTGGAACTCCGCCATCTCTGTTCAAAGGCAAGTCCTTGATTTTGCTTATTTCATCAGAAACTATATCCTGGAAAGTTGATTTGATGAGATCCTGCAACCAGAAACTTAGTTTAGGTCAAGGATAGTCGGCCAGAAGACTATAATGAAATAATAATTCTAATAGGGGACACAACTCGATCAATGTCAAAACAAAATTAATGGTATAGAACTTCAGTTAACAAGATTGTCTTGGACTAGAAAATTCTAGCAGGAAAATAACCTATTGAATAAGTCCAAATTATGCACAATCTTGTGATATGCAGGTTGTCACAATTGCTCCGTGGTCTAATACATAAAATAAAAGGACTTCTCCAAATGTCCACAGGAAAGCGTACAGAATAGAACTTAGAAGATCAATGCTAAATAACACCACACCACACCATACCATACCACAACACACCACACCCCTCCCTTCTCCCCCTCAACAAAAAGAAAAAAATGGTATGCCAAACTCAAACAGTCTCTCTACTTGTTGTTGGTTAATTTTCAACTCAAAGCCTCATTGCAGTGAGACCTTAGAAGGTTGCAAACATGTTTTCATTTCCTTAATATGACTCTCAATCTGGCTGGAAAAGGTGGTCCGGAAGCATCCTCTCTCCCAGCAAGCAAGACGAGATCCCCATTTCTCTCAGTAATGGACTTCCTTAGCCTTNGATCACTTCCTCGGATATTCTCATAAGTGGTCCATCTTTGTAGTCAATTACCTGAGCAAAAGCTTTCTTTTAGGTGAAAGACCCTCGGCTTGGTAGGAATGCAGTATAGACCGTAGCGTGCCAAGCCAGTACGGTACCAATGAAAGAAGGCGAAGGCTGGGCGAGAGACTAGGCCAACTTAATGCGATTTGTATTTGTCAATCCTCCATCTTATCAAGAATGTACATCTATTGTCTAGTTACTCAGTCTGCCCTTTTAAGTGTCAGTGAGGACCGATGAGTAGGCATAACACTACCCCTATTAAAATTTTAATATATTTTTCTCTTTCTCTTTTCAACCACACAGTCTTCAATAAAATAATTTTACACAAACAAAAAACTTTCCTTTCTTTTTCAACCACTCATTCTTAAAAAAAAAAACAATATTCCAAAAATTAAAATCTCAAATAATAGGGGCCAAACAGGGGCTAAACATAAGCCTTTCGAATTTCTCTAACCAACTAACCAAGTGTCAATAGCTCCCGAGATGCTTTGTCACTTAGAGAGCACCATAACAAACAAAAAACAATCCCTCTATCCATCGTACTATTAACAACAGCTTCATAAGAGATTAACATGGATAGCTTTTCACACGATCACACCACTCCAGTATTACAAATTACAGGAAAAAGTTTCATTTTCTCTAATAAGAAAATATTAACTAAAACAATGAAATAAATTAGCACTAACAAAATACATCGCATAGATTAACAATAAAATGGAAGCACAAAGTATAACAACATTTTCAGTTAAACTAAACAACAAGAAACGAACCTTGTGATTGAGAAGCTGTTCATTGGGTTTAGGCAATCTTAATTTCCAAAGCAAACGGGTTCGATCTTCACGGACTCTTTTGTAGCAATTTTCTCTAAGCTACATCAAATAAACACAATATCAATCTTAAATTTCCAAAATTCGTACAGTATCTAATGTATGAACAATATATTTTACGAATATTCAATAATTCAATAAAATCAACAGCTACCTTGTCTTTCCATTTAGGGTAATTATTAAAAGAAATATGACTTTTGAGAGAAGGACGGTTGTTATGGGGTCTGTTGCCCTCGTCTTCCGCCATTTCTTTGCTACTATTCCAACTTGTTTCCGTGCGTGAGGGTGATTGTCCTTTCAGTTTCAATTTGCCTTGGGTAGATGTGTGTTTGTTCTTCAATGAATTTGCTGTGCGAGCGAAGGGAAGACAATCTGGCGCCTAGAAGTAGAGGGAAAAATACAGCCAGAGTCTCCAACTTTACAAATTACAGCACTCAAGTCCCAATTTAGCTTTACTTTACATATGCGTCTTCAATCTTTCTATCTCGGTGCACATGAATCCGCATTGAGATATTAATTTTTTGAGTAATTCTACCTAGATGGGTGTTCTAACATCCGCATTATTCTAATTTTTTTTCCTTTTAAAATGGCACATGATTTACGCTCATCTAATATCAGTGTTCTAAAATGCGTAATGCGTTGCGAAGCGTCGAAGTCGAGAATCAAGAATCACAAGTTTAGGCGTGTCAATGCGAAGAATAAACATCATAATGCGTTTCGTATTTTTA